AGGGAGATCTTCAGGATCTCTTCTTTTATATAATATACCTGAACTTTTATCGTTATAAGTTGGCAGAGGCTTACCAAGTGTTGGAGTTAAAGGGGCAACATTGTCGATAAAGGGCTTATCTATATTTAAAGAAAGGCATTTATTGACCAAAGGGTTAGTTTCAATTATTTCCTCTTCATCGATGTCCTGACTATCATTTGAGCACTCATCTTCTTCTATAATTCTCCTAGACTCCTTGGTTAACTCTCTTTCTTGGCGTAATAAATCTCGTTCTTCCTGCAGAAGTTGAAGCTTCATTTTTGTTTTGCTGCTTGTTGATGACAAACTTTTTAAGGAGGTTGCAAAACAAGATTTCTTGATTTTGGAACTTTGTGGGTGAGACTTTTTAGTGGTTGCGTCTACACAAAGAGGGCACTTCCAGCTGTCATCACCAATTACTTCGGAATCATCCTGTACATTTACACATTGAAAACAGCACCTTTTATTACATTCTGTACATTCTATGATCCGTTCTTCACTACATGGTTTGTAGCGCACAGGACATAGATCAATTTTGGTTCGTCCAGCAACTGATGGACCCATATTCTTAGATCTTGTAGGATTGTGTGATTTAACAATCGCGTGTGATAAATAGAATTTGAGCTTGTTGGGAATTTATCATTTTTGAACAGCCAGCAATTGACGCATTTGTAGTATACTATTTTTATTTGCATAAAAATAACTCAAATTCTTACAATATATAAAATAAACAATATAAAAAAACTAATTAATTCCCATTACTTACCGTTCTCTTGCTGTCTGCTAAATTATTAAATTATTTAAATTTTTCCCTAATCGGTGACAGTTTGTTTTCTGACGTTTTGATATTATATTTGACATAGTTTATAGAACAGAAGCAACGGGAAATTTTGGGTACCATGATGGAACTAAAAATTAACTAAATACATTTTATACAAATAATAAATATTCGTAACAAGGAATATTTGGAAGAAGTATAGTTTTAAACCAATTTTCAAAAGGAGGTCCTCCATTTCATAATGAGAGTCTGCTATATTTTTCTTCGCCAAAAAATATAGTTCGGCTCCATTAATAAAACCATCTTTACTTCCTGCATGTAGTAAAACGAAGCGTGGGCCATGTGCAGTAGGAGATTTCAAGCCTGTAGTGAGTCCACTAACAAATGCATCCCTCTGTGAAGATACAGAAGTGTCCTTCCGTTCATAATTGACACTGTGACCAATATATACCCATGATTCTTTCAAATATACAATGTTGTAGTTTTGTTCCCAAAATATACAAATTTCTCACAAATATCAATAACACCAAGAAATAATTTCAGGTTTTTCCGAGGAAAAAAGAAAGGGAAAGAAAGGAAGAAAAAGAAATAGAAAAATTTAGTACTGGCAAATCAAGTTTTTCAAGCAAAAGAGCATTAAATTAAAAACAATAATAGTAAAAGTTATGATATAAAAGCTAGTCATCTGCAGTTAGCTTGAAGCCTTATGAAATATCATTCAAGGTAAATTATTTCAATTGCATAAAAATGAAATTATGTGATATTTACTTTTTCATATTAATAGCACGAATTCATCTTTTTCTTTTCTCTAATTTATATGTAATCTTTGGGAACCTATAAAAACTACACTCACTGTTTTTGCTATTATTAGCACAATTACTTAAATAAGCAACATGTATTTGCACACATTTTTGATAAAATTTATGCGTAAAAATATTTTGTCCAATATTCCAATTTTATCATATTTCGCCGCTACGCATGCTGGCATCGTTTCAATGTACCCCTACCATGGTCACGCACGGAGCGAATAAACACATTGAAATTACATTAATGTCAGGTTGGAAACCAGTTGTTAATAATAACAAAAAACTGCAATTAGATCCAAATTTTCCAAATAAGCAATGAGTTACTCAATACAATGTTATCAGTAATAATTATAAGCTTATTTGATATTCTCTGTTATAATTTAATTTAGGTGAAGTGACCATCAACAATTATAATTTATTTATTCTCAAGTGTAAGACAACTTCCGTCATATAAACTTTCAAAAAAACTGTTAGAGATTATTTTAGAACACACTAAATTTTCACCTAAATTTACCATAAAAAATACAATAGAACTAGTTAATAAAATACAACATTTTCAATTACCTAACGACTCCAGATTAATTTCATTTGACGTAAAAAATCTTTTTCCTAGTATCCCTCCTACAGAAACTTTTATTCTAGTAAAAAACCTTTTGGACCAAAATAGTACAAATCTAATAATTACATCTGAAATTTTACATCTTCTTGAAGTTTGCATAAACCAGGACTACTTTGAATTTCATAATAAAATATATACAAATAACAGTGCAGGACTAATAATGGGTAATCCTCTAAGCCCATTGCTATCAGATATTTTTATGGATCATCTAGAGACAAAGATTTCAAAACATCCCATATTCAAACAGTTTTTATTTTGGTGGAGATACATAGACGACGTACTGGTATGTTTCACAGGAACTAACAGGCAACTCGACAAATTTTTATCGTATATTAATTCACTTCATAGTCATATTGAATTCACAATAGAAACAGAACAAAATCAATCCATAAATTTTTTAGATTTAAAAATTAGCAGACTTCAAAACAAACATGACTTCTCCATATTTCATAAACCTACCCATACTGACACAACTATACACAATTCATCATCCCATCCAACACAACATAAACTAGCAGCTTATCATAGTATGTTACATAAATTAACAGAAATTCCGATGTCAAAATACAACTTTGAGACAGAATTAAATATAATTAAGCAAATAGCAGTAAACAACGGATACAACAAACAAACAATTAATAAAATGTCAAATCAAAAACTACACAAGAAAGCCCTGAAATTAGTATTTCCACCACCAGAGAAAAAACCCAGTACCTTCTGCTTGATTACATATAGAGGCAAAATAACAACAAAAATTGCTAAACACATAAAAAAGAAAGGAATAACACCAGCTTTCCGAACAAATAACAACCTAGGCAAATATCCACAAGGAATCTACGTTCCTGTAGTTGGCTGTATACCATGTATTAAAAATTTAATTAAAAATCCTTTGTAAAAGGTATATTTTAGGCCCAAACGGGCTAAGTTAAAAAGACAAAACGTTTTCGGAAACCATGTTCCATCATCAGTGTCTAGGAGTACATGAATGAAGCCACCAAGATTAAATATGTGGGTAAAAACCCGATTACATATGTTTAATTACATTTAGTTTTAAATTAATGTTGAAATGATATAAGATTACAGACTATATGAGTGCAACTCATATAGTCCTCGAAGACATACCGTCTCAGGACTAGCAACTTCAACGTGGAGTCATATGTCGCCATGTTACCAAATCCATCGGTAACTCTGTAATCTTATATCATTTCAACATTAATTTAAAACTAAATGTAATTAAACATATGTAATCGGGTTTTTACCCACATATTTAATCTTGGTGGCTTCATTCATGTACTCCTAGACACTGATGATGGAACATGGTTTCCGAAAACGTTTTGTCTTTTTAACTTAGCCCGTTTGGGCCTAAAATATACCTTTTACAAAGGATTTTTAATTAAATTTCTAGGCAAATATATTAAAAACAACAAGAGCCAAAATAAAAAACACTTAAATAGTGGTGTGTACAAACTTCAATGTGGCGACTACCCAAAAACTTACATGGGTCAAACTGGTAGAAACTTTAATAAAAGAATAGCAGAACATAAAAGGGCTTTCAATAATAGAAAAACAGATTCAACATACGCACTTCACCTTCTAGATCATAATCATTCTTTTAATGACAAATTTAAAATTCTTCACATTCAAAATAAAGGCATTAAGCTATCTTTGTTAGAATCTATGGAAATCAACAAATTAAAAAACACAGATATAATTCTGAATGACCAACTTGAGACAAACAGTTCTCCCCTCCTCAACCTATTTCATTAGAGACTATAAATTTGTAAACCCAAGCCAAAAATAGATCACTTGAGAAAGGCAATCAACCGAAACAGCTGTAGTGATAATAGTTAAAATAAATTTTGTGGAAGTTTGAAAACAAAGTTTTCAGTGTTTTATTGTTACATAAAATGAATTTCCATCAAGTAACTGTCGAATCCATCAATTACATAAAACTTTATTTAAACTTGACTGACAATTTTATGTTTTTCTCTACATTACTTTAAAACTGTCAATACATAAATATACTGTCAATACATAAATTAACAACCATAGAACAACATCCACTTTTAATGTTGGATATTCTAACATTCTTTACAAAAAAAAAGTTGTTATGCATATCAATTATAAAATTGCTGATTACTTTTTGAAAATGACTATCACTCACAAAAAACAATAAAAAATATTGTTTTACTACAATGTTATTGACTGGGTTAGTTTTAATTTAACATTTTTAGGGCCCCTTTTTAAGACCCTAGTACTGTTTGATTGATAATTCTTTTGAAGAAAATCAGCATTACCACACTAAAAATTACAAAAGTGCAAGGATTGCATTGCTGTATGTTTGTGTACTGTAAAGTCAAGAAGGGACAGACTGTAGTCCTTGTGATCTTTTAGAGCAGATAACTATTGCATACTCAAGAAGAGATCTAATAAGGAAAGTATATAGACTTTTAGATTTATTTATTGAAATTTATAGAAATCTATGGCTGGAGCAAAAAGGTTTAAAAAGCCGTTAATTACATTTCAAAATGGATTATTAACTTGGTCAGAATTCCACAGAATATTTAAATTTGTTTGAAGATCAACTGCATCAGTCTCATATGAAATCAGTTTATATAAGGTAGGAATTTAGTTATTTAATTAAAAACTGTAGTTTTTGTTTGTAAGGACAGAATACTTCAAAGAAATGTAACATTTAAAATTTGTGCATAGATGAGAAATATTAGATATACATACAAAATAATTGCATAGTATAGATTTATAAAAAGGAAAGAAATACCTGTCACCATCTTCCCTCCATATTTTTACTAAATTGTCACATCCTCCAGAAACAAGACGTTTCACAGGTGTAGTGTCATCTCCAAAAACAGGGGTAATTGCTGGAGCCCAACTAACAGCATTACATCCAATTGCATGGGCATTTTGAATCTTCTTGGCATCCCAAATGTTACTTCCAACATTATAAGTTAAAAGAGAAATTGAACCATCGCTACTTCCACAAGCTAGAATTAAACCTAGCTCAGCAGGTGCAAACTGAACAGAGTTAACACTGGAATCGTGATTTGCATACTCATAATATTTTATCCATTTTCTTTGCTGCTCTTTCCAAATGATTACTTTTCTATCATAAGAACACGAAGCTAATAAGTTTCCAAATTTAGGATGACTCCAAGCTATTTGCCAAACAGGTCCATAGTGGCCTTTTAAATCATCCAGTAGTGTGGAAGCTCCACTTTTTATATCATAAACTTTAATGCTGTTATCTGAAGAACAAGTTGCTAACCTTAAGCCGTAATAATCTACTTCTGCATCATGTATCATATCTTCATGACCAGTATCTATTGAATTTAATATAGAAACCATTTTTATGTTAAATTTGTAACTTCTTAAAATTACAAAATTTAACCCCAAACTTTTATTACTTGACACGTCCAAAATGATGACACTGACGTCACTGACACCAGAGACAGCAGAGAACTACGATTTACGTCATATTTACGTTACGAAGTTACGAACATGATATTATTTATACTGTGATATAAGCACAGAATAATAAAGAAACAGAATGCCCACTCTCCACGGAAAATTAAGTACACCCTTTTTCAAAGTAAAACACTTGCACGTCACGATTTATATAAAGTGACGTCACTTGTATTTAAAATTTCCAGAACATCAACCTTAAAATTCAATTTTTCCTAACACAGCTAATAATACGAAACCCATACGGAACTGCTCGATCTTTCATAGGCGCCAACATGGTATTCTAATAAGAAAAATGTAATCGTGATTACATTCAGAATTTTTGAATTATATTGAATAAATATACAAAAACATTTCTTATTATCAATAATTTAAATTTTATGCAACAATTGTTTTAAGCTTATCCAAAAAAATAATATTAATTAAATATATTACACAATCGTACGCCATTGATACGGAAATAGTTCGTTATTAGTGGTCTGTGTAGTTCATGTTTCAATAATATGAAGCTGCGTTGGCAAGCATGAGACAGTCACAATGCAGTGTTGTCACTAATTTATAACCTTATACTAAGTTTATATTATATATGTTTACCTTTCTGTGTTTTGATCAATTTGGTACGCAAAAAATATATAACTTTAATAAATTGTATTTATAAATACATAAATTAATATAATAAAGCTTGCATTATTATATTTGTGTGTACTAAAATGCCTAAACAACTTAATAGTCGTTGTCGAGAACTAGTTGCTTGTTTAATAGATTATTTTGAACAAGAGCGAATTAATGGTGGCCCTTTTTTACCATTGAATGCTGTAAGAGAGGTAATTTAAAGAATTTAAAATATATAATTTTGTATTACAATGTTTTATTATGTATTTTAGCGTGTTGCAGCAGCCTTAAAACTAAGTTTATCTACTGTTAGTACCATTTCTCAAGCTGTTAAAAATAATGAAGTTTTAAAATCACCTCCTAAAAAACGGTATCACAAAAAGACTAAAACTAATTACAGTGTTACCAGTGGCTTGGCATGGAAGGATGCACCTCCCTGTCAAAAATTATGCGATTTTGTACAAAATTGTGCGCTCTGTTGTAACCTTACTGTCATCTGTCACGTCCTGTCAGTTGTCATTGTAAAGGCCGTATGACACTGCATTTTCTTGTATCATTTCTTATATCCTAACGCTTATATCGTTTCTGATATAGGAAGTTATTTATGTTTTCTTGTATCTAATATAAGATTTTCTTCGATAAAGTAATTTTTATTTGCTAAAGATAATGCTGTGTCACAGAAGAAATAACAATTTTTGGTTGAGTTTACCGAAAGTACAAGCTATTATAGCCATAAATGTCAAACATGGAACAAAAACTTTCTCTATAGCAGTGTTGGCATGTTTTTGTAATGTAGATGCTGTATACTTCAAATATAAAAAGATAAAGCTCTAGAAAAGTACATTTTGTTATGAATTCTGAAATTTTTAATTTATATAAAACAACAATGAGTAAATATTTGTTTCTTTGGAGATTTATTGCAGTTAATAATTAGAATTTTTTTTAGCATTTACACTTTGATAGATTAGGGGATAGATTTGGCAATCGTCAAATCAGCAGTTGCCAGATTACAAAAAAAAATTGCATTTAATCTCGAAAAAGACAAATATCTACTCGTTATTGCTTCATGTAAATTAAAAATTGCAGAATTCATTAAATGGTATATTCAAAATGTACTTTTTAAAAGCTTTATCTCTTTATATTTGAAGCATACAACATGCGTTATAAAAACATGCCAACACTGCCAAACCGAAATATTTTTGACATTTGCGGCTATATTCAGCTTGTACTTTCGGTAAACTCAACCCAATTGTTTATTATTTTGTGGCTGTGTAAAATGTCGGCATAAACGTTTTGTTTTAAAACAAACAAGAAGACGAGTACTGTTATTATAAATTGTGGCTTGTCATTGTTTTTTTTTGCTTTGCTGGATTGTGCGAAATTATGTGATTTTATGCAGGATGCGAAAATTATGCGCCGGCAACTAAATTATGCGCAAATCGCATAATTATGCGCCGATTGGCAACACTATACAGAAGAGTTGGGCATCTCGCAATTGCGGGCACTCTAACCTAACCAAATATATTTTCCTTAGTGGTGGGTAGTTCCGGAACGAACTAGTTCCTGGAACTAGTTCATTTTATATTATAAATGAAATAGTTCCGAAAATTAAATGGAACTAGTTCCGAGGAACTATAAACGTCACTCCTGATCTTCTATTTGACACCGTCATTTTTGTGCGCGAACTGCATCTCTAAGTATTTCTTCGATCGACGAAAACGAAAAAGGAACTAGTTCCGAGCCGGAGCCGATTAGTGGATGAACTAACATAGTTCCGAGGAACGAGGAACTGTATGATAAATTATTTACTGGTCATGATATTTTTAGAGTTTAGTTTAATTGTGATTTAATGATTAAATTTTAAGAAATTCTTACGCTTATAGTTACAAAAGTAAATATTTTTAAAAATCATATGATATACATCAGTATGATCCTGTTTGGCTTTCACGTGCTTGTATTGACAATTGGGAATATGTAAAATGAATGTAGTTCTTACACCCAACGATATAATTAAATTTTACGACTTTCTGTCTTCTATGTCGAAAAAAATTGTTATGTAAGTAAAGTATATAGGTAAATATATACAATGTGTTTAACATCGCACAGATTTTGTTTATAAATTATTTATTTGAAGAACAAAAAATTCTTAGAGAGAAAATAAATAAATAACAAATCAACAATCATAGAAAAATAATAGCATTTTGATTTAAAATTCAGCAAAATATGTTTAGATAAAGTAAAAAACCACTTCGTTATTTTCGTGAAATAATTATTTAAACCAATCCCTTCGAATTTAGTTTCCCATCGTTTACCATATTTTACTTTTATTTTATTTGTGATATCGAATATCGAACCTAAACACTCGATCCGATTCATATCAAGATTAATCCTACCGATCTGATCGCAAAGTTAGTCATAGTTCCAAAGAACTAGTTCCAGGAACTAGTTCCTTTTTAGGAACTAGATCTAAGGAACTAGTTCCTAGAAAGGAACTATGAAGCCCACCACTAATTTTCCTCAAGGCACTGCGTCACAGTGTTGCCGTATTTATTTTAGTAAAATATGTATATGAATACTACAAATATAAATTTACTTTTACGAAATAATAATTTGTGTTATGAGAAGCTACAAATTTTAAATAAGTATAAAACTTGCCGTATTTTTTTGTAAAATGTATATGAAGGTTTAAAATATAAGTTACTTTTACGAAATTATAATTTGTATTATGAGAAGCTACAAGATTTAAATAAGTATAAAACAAATATTTTCTGTTACTTTAAATGCAATATTGTAAAATCTATGAATTTTTATATAATTACAATGTATTTCTGTTATATATGGTAATTTGATTAATACTATTAATTTTTTATATCCTTTTAATCAATTTTATTGTATATGCATTTGTTTATTATCTTTAATTCAACTAAAATCTATGAATTTTTATATAATTTCAATGCATTTCTTTTATATACGGTAATTTATTTATTACTATACATTTTTTATATCATTTTAATCAGTTGTATATGCATTTGATTATTATCTTTAATTTAACTAAACTCTTTGAATTTTTATATAATTTCAATGCATTTCTATTATATACGGTAATTTAATTATTACTATTCATTTTTTATATAATTTTAATCAATTTTATTGTATATGCATTTGATTATTATCTTTAATTTAACTAAAATCTATACTATTAATTTTTTATATATCACTTTAATCAACATTTGTATATTATGTGAGAGTATGAAAAAACTGGAGACTTGGCAACTCTGACACCATTTAAGCGAACGTTAAATCGTTGATTGAATAATCCAAATAGATCTGCAGCCGTACACAAATTAAACGTAGCAACTATTCTGTTCTCAAAAACCGTGTCGCCATCTATGTTCGAGAGAGGAAATTACACTACGGTTCAACATAAAAGATTTCTTCTCTTCATATTACCTCCCCTTAATTCTCAACGTAAATATTGCTTTCCCACTTTAATTCCTAAATACAATCATACATTCAAACTGTGCATTTTGAAATTTGTATAACATTGTTCTGTAACTTTTTTCTACGAACTTTTAGGTAGATAAAATGGTACATTTTATAGGAAGAGAAGTCAATTACCGTTACGGTTGTATTCTATTGTACGAGGTTGTAAGACTATTTTTAAGCAATTTATGGTTTTTCAGTTTATACTTTTAAAGATTTTTGATATTTTTTATGATTACTTTTTAAAATTCGCATTAAACTTTTTTTCTGGTACCTTTGGGTATATACCTGACTCAAAATTTTTTATTCAGCAATGTATATATATATATATATATATATATATATATATATATATATATATATATATATATATATATATATATATATATATATATATATATTATGTACTTGAAGGCACCAGAAAAAAAGTTATGAGAAATCTTCTTCTTACGGTGCCTATCCGTTCCGGATGTTGGCGATCAACATGGCTATCCTAACTTTGCTTGCTGCTATTCTGAATAGTCCGGTTGTCGATGTATTAAACCACTTTCTCAGGTTTTAAAGCCAAGATATTCTTCTTCTCCCTGATCCTCTCTTTCCAAATACCTTGCCCTGAAGAATGAGTTGCAACAAGCCGTATCTCTGTTCATTCCTCATAACATGGCCAAGATATTCTAGTTTGCGCTCTTTGATGGTGTTAATAATCTCGCATTCCTTGCCTATTCTACGTAGGACGTTAACATTAGTCACACGATCCACCCATGAAATTCTTAAGATACGTCTGTAACACATCTCGAATGCCTCGAGTTTTCTTAAGGAAGCTTCGGAAAGTGTCCAGGCCTCTACTCCGTATAATAAGGTAGAAAATACATAGCATCTAAT